TGCATTGACTTTTTATGGCAGCCAACGAGCCAAAGGACGAAAAGGAGAGTGGAAGCCACAAGGAGTGGAATCGACAAATAATGCAAAATCATTTAGTGGAACTTCTAGACCCAACACTTCTAGCAGCCCTTGCTGTTCCTGTTCCCCGTCGGAGTCATAAAATCCGGCACCGAATGAAATTCTCATCAAGTCGCAAGTTGGCACAATTTCACTTTGCCGCTAAGCAACTGAATAAGGACCCAAATGATTTGGAGCCCAAGAAGGTCCTGCTGGCCATCGGTGTTGTCGGCTTTTAAAAATAAGAAAATATGCTGTTAGTAATTATAGACTTGGTTTTTTTTTATAACTACATTTTTCTGGCATTTGTTGTAGAATGGTTGTTAGGTTTGTAATTTGATTTTAAGAATCTGAAGATCTGTTAGTCTCCAAAATTCTTTAGATACCGAAAAAAAACGTGTTATTTCATATTTGTCTACGCTCTATTGTCAATAAAATTAGGAAGGGATGACTGTGATTTCAAGCCAGTTGTTTTGAAAATAATCTGGCGGTGCCAAAAAATTCTGAAAAATGGCCGGGAATTTCAGTTAAAAGTTAATAGTAGGTTTCTTAATATTAAATTAATGAGAAAACTACTTTAACGGACGAGAGAATGTGCCATATCAAAGTTTAAAGTTTCCAAGCTATGGAAGTTGACACGCTTTCATTTCATTTCATTTATTAATATCCTTAAGATACAAGTAAAGACTTGTACTTATAGTTAGTCACAATTTGCCACTGATCAATTCCATACTGTTTACTGCATTTTAAATAAATAAATTAAATGTTATCGTTTTGTTTTTAAAAAATCGGCTTTGATTAATCGATTAATAAACGGTGTGTACTCTATGTGTTTAACAGGTAATAGATAGAGATCGATGGTTAAAGTGAGACCTAAATTACATTTAATTACATTTAAATACATGTTCGAATGGAATATTCCACAAAAGCCGACACAAAAAGCCAAAACCATGCCTTCCACCAGCTGACCTGGCAACACTGCCGGTCATTCCGCCAAAATAGCCCCCCACCCACAAATCCCAATCCCAAACCCTCACCCACACCCTCACCCCCACCCTCACCCACACCCTCACCCTCGGCATTCGCGCGTGACTAACGTAATCAGCTCACGTAACGCCTGAACGAGATGAGATGAAATCAGCATACACTCAGGACTGCGACTGCATAAATGTCGAATTTATACGAAAATGAAGAGGCCCGGGCTATTGGACCATCGGGCCAGCTGAGGGGCATCATTCACGGCCAGGTCCTGGCTTCGTCCTGGCCATCGGAGCAGTTTTGTAGATCTTTGACACGCGATAGGACCCCCTGGTTTGCCGGCATCGCAATGTTTTCATCGGTTAATTTGCAAACAAATGTTGGGCTAAATCTGGTTTCCATAAATCGAACAATGAGGAACATTTCGTTGTACAAAGAAAGCTAAAGTTAGGGTGGGTTCCTTTACTGGGCGATCATAAAATTCGATCTTTAACGAACTTAAACTTCACTACTCTTGTAGAAAAAGGATTTTTTTAAGTTCCCCCAAAGGATTTAGTTGGGTAATGAGAAACAGTCAATTCAATAAACAATAGTAAGTCTTGAAGACCGTCGAGAAATAAATTCAGTTTCTAAAATATTGGATCTCTTTAGTTGTAGCTAGCTGCAAATTTGGTTTAGCCCACTTTTTAGGTACTTTTAGTGGTAGTGGGGTTGGCTAATGTTCGAAGCTCTCGGATTTATACCTATTATTTGTAGAATAAAATACATATTGTGTTCGTCGAAAAGTAACAGGTAAAGTAACAGGTAAATTCACAAATTTCTGACCTTATCATGATCAGAATCAAAAGCCGAATCGAATTTATTCGTCTGTCCGTATGAACGTCAAAATGTTGTAACTATAAAAGCTATAGAGTTGGGACTGGAATGCAGACTTAAAATAGTACGTTTTTTCAGTTCGATTAACGTCCACAAATTGCTAAGTTCTGTAGAGACATGTTAGAAAATTTTGCGCAGTATATGTTGGTTTTCCAAGTCGAGCATTTATTAATGAAGTTATTAAGTAATTAAGTTTAAAATGAGTAATAACGTCAGTTTTATCAGAAAAATATTACCAACAGTCACAAATATTTTATTTGCCGCTTTAATATAATTGCAAGTTGCGTTCTTTCTTTTTTTTATATTCAATATAGTTTGTTCACAAATATATATATATTGCTCATTTTGGCGTACATATATTTAACTTCTTTCAGGGTGTTTTTAAAACAAAGGAGTTATCAGTATCTGAAAGTATTAAGCAGCACAAGGAATGAAACATATTATATAAATATGCCAACTGCATTAGAACCGTCATAAAAGTAAAGTCAATGGGGTCATTCAGTGGATTCCATTTAAATGTAAAACCCATCATTAGTAATGCGAGCAAGTGACCCCGAGCATAAAAAAGATAGAGAAAGGCCAACAAAAATCCAATGAGACCAGAGACCAGAGACCAAACATCACGCATAAGTTTCATTTTATTTTGATTTTTACGACTTGGCCACGGAGTGTGACAGTCTGCAGCAGTCCCACCTGGATCACTTGCTAAATAACCAGCGGACGTAGCAACAAACATCGTGGGTGGAAAAGCGAGGGCGGGAAAAGCTAAGGAAATAGTGGGACGAGGGGTCATGATGTGTCCATGAGAACTTAAGCAGGGAAAATGCCTATTTACGAGCGTGCATGCTGCCGGACACATGGTAATCATATATTTTGGTCATATCTGTGGACCATAAAACCAGTGTCCTTATGCGCCTGTCAATGAGTTGTTTCATGACATTTATTTCGCCTGTTCCATCCCTGTTTCGGGATGTTTTCCGAGCCCTGCGTGCAGATGGAAAATATTTTAGTGTCCATTTAATGTCCAATCTAAGATGAGCTCGTAACTTTTGATCGAATAAACGAGCTGGCGCCCAGGAGCACCCCATTCCCCGTCCGTTTTGGGTCATAGTTGATTTCGGGGGGAAAGGGAAGGGTTCCGTTTTCGAATTGGGCACGCAACCTGAGTCTTTAAGTCTCTGGGGAACGGGGCTCTAATTTTCCTACCACTGCCCGGCTCATCTGACAGATAAGAAGAAGTTATTGGCCAGGTATTTGCCATTTTATTAGAGGATTTCCACTCTCTTCATAAAGTCCTGATTGCCACAGTCGTTCCTTCGAGTCATAAATATTTAATTAAAATCAAAATTAGTTTTCCAAAGCCGAGAAGAACTTGAGGCCGACCCCGCGATTCTATCAATGTCAAGACTGAATGCAAAGCGGCCGCAAAGCACCTGGCTTGTTAAAAATTAAAATCGCACATGCTTCCAATCCGGATAACCATGGACGGCATCCCCAGCTATTTCCGCAGCTTTTGCGGTTTTCAGCGGCGATTTAAGCGTCGGGCACACGCAATCCACACCGCTTGCATAACTTTCGACCTCCCCCAAACACCGAACCCATAAAGTACATTTGCATGCGACGCCCAGGAGACCCTGTCCTCCAAGAGAAAGTGCTTTCCCCTTCCCTTTCCCTTTTCCCCCACCCCAGTGGCTCGTCGGATTTGGACTGTGACCAATTGAATCGAGCGAAACCACTTGCGAAAATCCGCTGATGTGATGACAGGATCTGTTGCCTGGGGAAAAGCAACAGCATTGCAAAACATTCCCATTTTGTTAAATTTTGAGCCACCTGAAAATATTTACAGCTATAAAAGTCTATTGTGCTTGAGCAAATATATACGATTTTAGATCTTCTAAAAGTGTTTTTTTAGCGTAAGTAATAAGATGTTTTCTATTCGGGACAAAAAAACCCTCAGGGTTATTTATATGGGAGCGTTTGTCTTTTTAGTTCTAGCGATCTATATAACACTTTTTGGTGAAGCAAACGGATGTAATTATTTTATGCAAACTGTTTTCAAATCGTAAGTGTCCAGTAGGCTTTTTTAATTTTACATTTTAGCGCCTATATCCTCTATATCCTCTATGCTCTTGCGGAAAATCGGACAACAGGTAAATCTACTTGTCTGTTAAATCCGATTTAGAATGAGTGACGGTGTTGTTGACTTATTCGGTCTTATGAGGAGAGGATATCGACAGAATGAAGAATATTTTAAATTATTTGTGTAACAAGCCAACTGATGGCCAAATGTTCTCAGGATTTTGGCTCATCTCAAGCGTAACATGCGGCGAATACGTAATCTGCAAGTGCAGATTTAATTCTCGGCGTAAAATAAGTTGAACAATGTTGCTTATTCGGTATTAACTGGTAATTTTTGGGAATGTTGTTAAACGATCTGCCCTATTATAAAGCTCATTGAATTCATTTAATATTTTTGATGAAATAACGTAGAAATATTCAAAGAAGTTATGCCACTAAAAATTTCTTGCAGAAAGCCTTTTTCCGATATCCGAATTCAGTGATTGAATGGCTAACTACGTAGATACCGGCTTTTTGAAAGTCCCACACACAATTTATCCATTAACTTATTATAGGCTCTAATTTTAAGAATTTATCTTTCAATCTTTCACGCACAGAAAGCAAAAAAATCATTAATTAAATGCCTAAATTATTATAGTTGTAGACCCTTTCTTTATTCTTACTATTTACTCAATTATACGAAACTCGGACGGCTCTTCAAATGCTTTAGTTTTGGGAAATTTTGTTTATGGTGTTGGGTATATTTTTAAAGGGTCCGATTAAATCTCAAAGCTCATTTATTTCAATATGCATTCCGAAATGTATATTAATTTCGAACCACCCAAAAAAACATTCAGTATTGGTTTCAAATAATAATATTAGAATTTTCGTTTCATATGAATTTAAAACAAAAGTTAGAAAACGAAAATAAAATTTAAACACAAGCCATAATTATTTTTAAGCTTATGCAGCAGTTTAATTTCCATTTTGGTTGTTCGTGAATCATCAGTCTCATTGGTTTCTGGATGATGATCTATGATCTAGAAACCAATAAGACTGATGATTCACGTACAACCAAAAACAAATGGAAATTTAACTGCTGCATAAGCTAAAAAATTAATTATGGCTTGTGTTTAAATTTTATTTATTTTATTTGTTTCGGTAACATCCACGATTTCTGGATTAGCCATCTGGTCAGGATCAGTTGCCTCGGTTGCCACTATTTCAGGTTCAGCAATTTCGGGATCGGTTGCCTCGGTATTATCCACTATTTCTGCATTTTCAGACTCGGAAGGCACTTCCTCTGATCTTTCATTACCATCAATTGGTGTACGTGGACCCTCAAGAACCACCATCTCGACATCTTCGACCACGGATTGCCTTGTAGGCTCTGGGTCGTCACCTTGATTTGCTTTCTGTAGCAAGGATTTGGAAACCTTAGTCTTCGATGATTTTTTCCCTTCAGTTTTCTTCGACTTTTTGACTTTTGGCTCAGAAGTGGCTTCATTTATTTCGGCCATAACCCGCCTCTTAAGCTCATTTTTGTGGGCGATTTTTGCCGATCTCCTCGGTCCGTTTGGCGGCTGTGGATTTTCATTAGGGGTGTTAGGAGCATGCTCCGATATCACGATTACAGGTCTCACCAAGTTTGAGTCACCTCCGGCCCCGGAATTCTGCTGCTAGTCGCGAGTTGACGAGTTTGAAGAAGCCGATGGCTTGTCTTTCGGTGAATTCGAATTCATTTAAAAAAACAGATTGTTCCTTTTTTTCAATTATGATGTTGAAAAAATATGTGATACTGTGTTCTTCGTCTTAGAATGTTTGGGGATGTGTGAGTATGTCCAGCCGAAGGAAAGCCTTACAAAAAACTGATAGACTACTTGATTTGATGTTACATACCATCCAACATTTAATATGAAATAATATATAAGTAGGCCGTAGCTAAGATCTATTCAAGACTTTCATTTTATAAAGCCTACTTGATTATAGATATTTTTAAACTTACAAAATATCAAACTTTTTACTATTTGCTCGCAAAGTACATAAAAATCAGAGAATTTTTTAATGAAAATGTCTGAGAATGCCACTTGATAGAAAATTTTATAACGAATTCAACAAGGTGTGACATTCCAAGATTCGACCACTATTTCCAAGGGTTTTAATTAAAAAACCGAAATATCGAGGTGATTTGTTCAGGATATAAACAAAATACTTTTCATAAGAGGTAACATCATGATTTTTTGTGAAAAATAAAAGTTTTATGAAAACACAGCATTCAATCAGATTTTGCTCTTCTTAATATTAAATTATTTCCAGTGGCGTCCTCTTGTTGCCTCTTGTTCCCTCGAATTATGTGAGCTGCGCAATCAGAGAAAAGTTTGAGTAAACAATATAAAAAACTTTTGATCATTACTAAATTCATAATCACAATTGTATTCAATAACAAGAAAGGAAAGCTAACTTCTGCCCTTGCAGAATATTCTGTAAATTATATTCTCAAAAATTATTCATATGATGCATTCTTAATACTCATAAAAAATCCCAACTTCCTAACTTTAAAACACCAAAGTTATGACATTTCCGATCGTTCAGTTATATGGCAGCTATAGGATATAGTCTGCCAATCCCGGCCGTTTCGACTTATGTACTGTGTGCAAAGGAAAGAAGGGTATGTGCAAATTTCAATTCGATATTTTTAAAACTGAGAGACTAGTTTGCGTAGAAACAGACAGACGGACAGACGGACATGGCTATATCAACTCAGGAGGTGATCCTGATCAAGAATATATATACTTTATAGGGTCGGAGATGTCTCCTTCACTGCGTTGCCCACTTTTGACCAAAATTATAATACCCTCTGCAAGGGTATTAAAATACCCTTTGCTAGAGTATAAAAATGTGCACCGATTGCAAAGGCGTTAACACTTTATATCAATCTTAACTCAGTCTTCTGCTGTTACATATATCTGCCCGAATAAAAAAACGGATTCCAAAAAGTATAGTAGCGTGTGGCATTCATTTCGGTTTTAATCGAGAGTTCTTTTGTTAATAACCGTTCTGATTTCGCTTTCCAAACACCCCACCAGTCTTGGTTATTCAAAGTTTACCGACCGTAGTATTTGCCGAACGTAATCCTTTCTATTAGAGTTTACTGAGTTGGTTTGTCATTTCCACAAAATTGACTTTGTCTCGCTTTCCACTCCATTCGAACCACATGCACATACTCTATCAGACCGAACCGATTTCAAAAAGTGATTAAATTTAACTGGGCAACGAGTTAAACTCGGAAATCAGGAATTATATGCAATGCGAAGGACAATTGCCAGTGGAGGACATAAAACAAAACAGTGACAAAGAGGCGGGGAGTGGAGAGGAGGCCGGAGAAGGCGGTGCCTGCGACAGGATGCGGAAAGAATGGGGCCATGGAAGTGGAAATGGAAATGGAACTGAAGCCCAGCAAGGACATGCGGCTGCTGACTGCGACTACTCAAAATCTGTGCGTCTGCACGCATTACAAACGAATTACGAGACTGGTTGGGCAATTGCAGTTCATTGTTATTTAATATGTCGCCCGGTCGATGGCGGGGGAGGGGGCGGAAGGAGCGCCAGGAGTCGAGGCGACAACGAGAACATGCCTGGGAAATTATACTTTATGCCGCCAGGACACTGGATTGCACGATTGCAGGATTGCGGGATTGCAGGATTGCAGGATACGGAGCCGAGCTGAGGCAGACGGCATAACACTGATTGCGATATAAACGATTGTCAACGTATCCAAGTGGATTATTACCTCATGCCAATTATCATATCAACGATACACAGGCCCAGGACCCGGCAAATGGCCAGGCACACACACACACTGGAACACACTCGAAAACGCAGGACAAGCCAGGACATGGCACATTGGCTGACAAGTGGCGGGCGGAAAAGGGCGAGCCACTGAGCCAACCAAGCCAGCCCAACCACCCACCACCCACCGCCCACACACTTGACGAGGCGTTGATGGTGTCGGCATCTGGCAGCTCGTCCCTCTGCCACTCCCACTGCCACTCCCCCTACTCCTCCTCCCCCTCCCCTTCATCATCGACAGTTCGGTCCTGGCCAAATTGCATGTACAATTTTAAATGGATTTTGATTGTTTATGACAATTCGACGAGCTGACTGGCCAGTCCGCTGCTGGCCACTGATAATACGGCATTTAAATGATGATGACCAGCTCCCACCTGGCATCCTGTTCCAATCCCCCATCCCCCCTCTCCCGTACCCCATCCTGTCCTGGTCTTTTAACCGCCCCCCAATTTGGCCTCCTGATGGAGCCACGCCAATGCAATTTGTGAAATTAAGCCCAAGTATTTGCATAGAGCATTTAAGTCATGGCATTTATACGGCAACGGATGTTCGAAACTGTGTGGCTTCAGTTTTTTTATGTTTACTTCTAAATGAAAGCAATTAACAATTGTAAAGGAAATTTGAAGACTATGTTTTGCAATAACTCTACCGATTCAGTCGGAAGAGATTTTCGCTCCATCTCTGATGATAAAAATTCAAATACAAAAGAGTATATGATCTATATTAGAATTTTGTAAGGTCTCGATTTGATTTTGAAATCGAAATAAGTAAATTGATGTTTTGAAAAATTTAATTCGTAATCAGGTTGACCTTTAAGAGATTGAATAAATACTTTTCCCATCAAAAGAGTAATATATATATAATATAAGCGACTTAAACAGCGATTTTCATATAAAAGGTTAACAAGATTTAAAATGTTAATAAGATTTAAAAGGTTAACAAGACGTATGAAAAAAAGTTGAACTTACGTATAGAGAATGGTTTTAAAAACTACAGATATACTGAAACATCGGGCTTAAATCAGCAGAGATGTCAAAAAAACTGCCATAATAATTCACACGTATATTTTGTTGCTATAGATAGTACAAATTTTAGTTTAATAAAATGAACGATTTAAATCAACATCAAATGATAAAGGAGACCGACTTTTTACTCGCAACCACACTCTAGATAACTTTTCCCATTTACCCATCGCTGAACTCTCTTGCAATCGATGATGTCTACTTACTCGATTGTTTGGCGTTTAACTGTTCGATACCTTTTAATGGCATCGAATTAATAATTAGGGCTATTCATTAAATAAATTTGAAATACAAAAGATCTTTAGGTCTTGGACTCTTCTGATATACCTGACTTACCTATTGGGTTATCAATTTAATCTAACTTTACCAATCCTACATAGATCTTCTGTACTGTTTCAGCATTAAATGGCCAAGGTCCCATTTAGCTAAAAAAAATAGATACCGAAAATTCTTTAACTTTCTAAAATGGTCAAAAAGATGGTTCAGAATATCACTACCCAATGAGTTAGATGAGACCTCAATTATAAAACTATGTGGCAGTGGTTTCTTTGTTGTCAACTGAAAAAACATTGACAAAGCTTAAAAAAATGATACACCAAAAATAAAGCAATATACTTGTATGCCCTACCTATTATCCAGGCTTTGTGTATTCAATCAAATAAGATCGCGTTAGAAATGAATAAAATTGTGTGGATAGGAAGCCTGAATAAGTCGCTTGGCTATGGCAGCAAGAAGGAGGCACCTCTTTTGAGACCAGGCGAAAGGGTGTGGCTCAATGCAACTAGGCAAAAAGGACAAAAACCCGTGAAGGACTCAGCACCAGCACCAAAGTTGAGGAGGAGCAAGAAGTTCTACGGATACAGCATTGTGCTGGGCAGTCTCTTCAGCACCATTCTGTGGGCTGTTTACGAGCTGGGCAAACCCGAGGTGGATCATCGCGGTCCAATCGAGGACGAGTTCAGCCAGCTGCCCTGGTTCCGTCAGTACTTGACGAGGATGTGGCACTCGCTGCAGTACTACCAGAAAATGATGGAGGAACCGCAGATGGTGAAGTTGCTGCCCGACGTGCTGCCACCTCCCTACATACAACCGCCCTACTCACTCGTCCTGGAGATCAAGGATGTGCTGGTGCATCCGGACTGGACCTACCAGACGGGCTGGCGGTTTAAGAAGCGTCCCGGTGTCGACTACTTCCTGCAGCAGTGCAGTCGGAACTTCGAGATCGTGATCTACACCTCGGAGCAGGGGATGACCGCCTTTCCGCTCCTGGACGCCCTCGATCCCTACGGCTACATCAGCTATCGGCTGGTGAGGGGAGCCACTGAGCTGGTGGAGGGGCAGCACATCAAGAACCTGGACTACCTCAATCGGGATCTCAGCCGTGTCATTGTGGTGGACTGTGACCCGAACACCACGCCACTGCATCCCGAAAATGGCCTGGTGATGACCAAGTGGCTGGGCAACGACGACGACGTCCAGCTCTTCGACCTCACCGCCTTCCTGCAGTTGGTGGCCGAGCACCAGGTGACCGATGTGCGGGAGGTGCTGCGCTACTACCGCCAGTTCGAGGACCCCATCGAGCAGTTCAAGGACAACCAGCGCCGCCTGCAGGAGCAGAACCAGGAGAACACCCACGTGTCCGCCTCCGGGGAACGCCAGTGGAACCTCACTCTCATGGGGCGCTCCTTGCGGGGCTCCTAGCTCTGGATTGATTGCGTATAGCCAAGGCATCTTACTAGTTCAAAAACTCAACCTATATTGCAGGTGCACTGTTAACTTCAAAGTAAATTAATAACCAAATTCAAGTTTAAAATGCCTACATATATTTTGGATCTAATTGTAGGGAAAGGTCACACGAAAGGGGGTTCTTAAGGTTTTTGCAAAAAGGGGCCACTAAAAAAATATGAACTTTTTTCCTTAGCATTTTTTAAAGGATAGCTTTGCTGACAGGGATATTATATTAACTTATATTTATATTAAAAAGCGGAAATCGGTAAACGCTGTTTTATAAATCTAATTCATCGACCGATTTATTTCTCATGTGTCAGACGTACATATATGGACATGTAAAGTGCATTTAATTAAAAACACTACAAAATCTGATAAACTAATTACTATCGAATGATGTGGCCGTCATTTAGCCATGGTTTTCATAAAGCAGCCAACCGGTGGAGCAAACCATATTAGACAACGATGGCACACACGGATGGTCAGAAGATCCCGCGGCAGCTGCACATTCCACCGTTTCCGAGGACACTTTGCGATGCAAAAAGGCGAAAATTTATGCGCATCGCAGCGAACTTGGTGGAGGGGCAGGGGGCATAGAGGCAGGGGGTCCTAGGAGTCAGATGGACATCCGGGGGTGAGTGGAGCACCACTTTCGTGCTTGACCTCACTCACAGCGGCCTGCTTAGCCTCTTGACCACCGCTAACTTGGCCGGGATGGGATGTAGATGGGATGTGGATGTGGATGTGGGCTTGTATCCGCCGGGAGCAGCGTGTGTGGGCGCCTCTTCGGTGGCCAATGGAAAATGGCCACTGGCCACTGGCGGTGCGTTGCCTTTTCAGGGTATCTCGCCACCAGCACTTGCAATGAAAGCATTTCCGCATCCGGTGGCGGGGCTTCCGAGGTCCCAGCGGCAAAGCCAAGCCAAGGAGCAGCATGGAGTCCACTTTAATTTTTGTTTTGTTTATAATTTACGCGACACAACATCAATTAAGTGCTTGGCCGGAAAAGCGCATACCTGCAGCTGAAAAAAGCAGTCATAAATTCTCGCCCTAAAGTGTTGGCGAGTGTCGGTGGGGTTCCCATCCCGTGCAGTACTGTACTTCCGCCGTCCCGCTCCCCGGAGATTCCGAAAAGGGCCCAATGGGATGGGTGGGGGGAGGGGGTGCGGGGTGTGGGGCTGGTAGACCAGCTGCAGTGTGCTGGAGCATAAATAGCCAACGCCATTTCGGTATGCGCACTTTTTATGTATCACACAAATCATTTTATTGAATACACACTGTATGCAGAGGTTGCAACTTATTTAAGCTCGCCGAATAGTTCAGAGCGGAGTGGTAATATCAGAAGAATAGTAGTATCAAAATGTTGGACAAGGAACAGAGTTCGAAAAACATCCCTCTAAAGCAGAAAACTTTCGAAGTCAAAAAAACTTATCGAGGCTTTATGAGAAATAAACAAGCAGTGCTTAATATTATTTGCTGATAAATATCAAATCTTTATTATACTGCTTCTTCATCAAAAATTTCCCTAAAAAGAGAGGAAAACCATTTTATTGCAATAAAGAACATTATGTCTTCGTTTTATAAATCTTACTTATAGAGGAAATTTATTAATTAATCTTAAACCGAAGTTGTAATACCTGTGCAGTCATACCGAAAATAAATGACTGCCATATCATAGTCAATGCAAGGAATGAATTTTAGATCATAGAAATCCATAATATTTGGCCAAACTCAATTAGATATATACACATAACCCGATTATTCCAATGGCAGGCAACAGGATATATACATCCGAACGGTGCTTTTTAACTTGATCAGCTTACACTTTTAAAAAGACGATAGCGAAAGTTTTAAGTATCTTGCTTTTAAACTGAGCTTGCTTACGGCATAGAAACTGAAGGACAGAGGATCATGGCTATACCAACATAACAATTAGAGATTCTAATCAGAATATAAATACTTTCCTTTATAGATTTGAAAATGTCTCCTTCACTGCGTTACAAACTTTTGACGAAAATTATAATGCTCTCTGCAAGGGTATAAAATTATAATTATTAAACAATGTTCCAAACTATGTGTATATTAAGTCCTAAACAAGAAAGGAAAGCTAACTTCGGGCGGAGCCGAAGTTGAAATACCCTTGCAGAATATTCTGTAAATTATATTCTCCAAAATTATTTATATGATGCATTCTTAACACTCATAAAAATCCCAACTTCCTAACTTTAAAAACACCAAAGTTATGGCATTTCCAATCGTTCAGTTATATGGCAGCTATAGAATATAGTCGGCCGATCCTTATGAAATTTGGTATGTCGGATTGATTGGCCAAAAATAAAACCCATAGAAAATTCCAACTTCCTAACTTTAGAAACACCAAGGTTATGGGATTTCCGATCAATCAGTTATATGGCGGCTATAGGATATAGCCGGCCGATCCTTATGAAATTTGGTAGGCCGGATTAAGTGGCCAAATATAAAAGCCATAGAAAATCCCAACTTTCTATCTTTACAAACACCAAAGTTATGGCATTTCCGATCAATCAGTTATATGGCAGCTATAGGATATAGTCGGCCGATCCTTATGAAATTTGGTAGGTCGGATTGATTGGCCAAATATAAAACTCATAGAAAATCCCAACTTTCTAACTTTACAAACAACAAAGTTATGGCATTTCCGATCAATCAGTTATATGGCAGCTATAGGATATAGTCGGCCGATCCCGGCCGTTCCGACTTATATACTGCGTGCAAAGGAAAGAAGGGTGTGTGCAAAGTTTCAATTCGATATCTTTAAAACTGAGAGACTAGTTCGCGTAGAAACAGACAGACGGACAGACAGACGGACAGACGGACAGACGGACAGACGGACAGACGGACAGACGGACATGGCTATATCAACTCAGGAGGTGATCCTGATCAAGAATATATATACTTTATAGGGTCGGAGATGTCTCCTTCACTGCGTTGCACACTTTTGACCAAAATTATAATACCCTCTGCAAGGGTATAAAAAAATCAGCTTTCGTTTACCAGTAATAGAAACTCGAAGTAAATAATTTTGAATATTTCTGAGATTCTAATATATTATATAGCTTTCTTAACCTTTGTGTGAAAACGATTTTCAATTTTCAAGCCATCGAGCGGTAAAAAGTGTCTGCAGCACATCCACACAGGCGCATAGACGACGATGCCTAATTGGAATTAACACAAACAATTTATGGTCCAAGTTGGTGTGATTTGTTGGAGTGACATTACGATGCGGTAAAAGAGCGATGGCGAGGGACGAGTTCGGGAGGGTTGGAGAACGGAAAGTGCCGTTAACTGAACGAAGTCAAGTCAACTGAACGAGGACAAGATGGAAAGGTTCTCGGCAAATTTCCCGGAGAGTGTGTGTGTTTTATCGGGGTTCGGGTGTCTGATGGCACTTGCAGACGCAATTTGTTACAACAAAAGAGGTCCAAAGAGTCATTAAACGGCAGTATAAACAAAACTCCAAAGGGATCCTTTCAGGGCAGGGGCTCTAAACATACGAAAATGTCAACAGCTGTGAAAATTAGAACTCACTTAAAGTTAATTTAGATATCCTTAAAATAAATCTGGTATTGAGATATGCCACTAATGATGAAATCGAAGAAACAACATTTGAAATATTTATTATGTACACTATTATCTGGTGAACATATCTATCTGGTGAACATATTTCGTACTATACGTATACTTAAGCTAATATAAACGTTTTTAGAACAAACACTTCTACTTTTATTAAAAATTAAAAAAAAACGGTCCTTTAATTTGATTTATCACTGCCGTATTTAACGCTTCCTTATCAATTCAATTATCACATAGTGCAGTGCCATTAAATTAATAAAAATTATTTCCACTACGGACAAAATGTATTTATTAGCCCTCAATTTTCCCCTCACTCTTCTGTCGCCTTCGCCGGAGTCGACATTCAAATAATGAAACGAATGTTTTGCTGCACTCATCCATTTATTCACGCACCATAAACTAGGGACAAATTTATTTCAAGGGACATTCGAACGTGCAATAGTAAAAATAATAAAATTAATGGGGGCACAAAAAGGCAACGGCAGCCAACAAGTGAGATCGACTTTTATTCCGATTCGAGACGGAGGTTCCCCTTCAAACAGGTACCAGAACCGTTTGCGAATTATATATACATTCCATTTCAAAATGGTTCACATTGGTGGAGTGGGGAAGGGGGGCTTGGGATGAGTGGGGTGGTGGTGTGCGGACCGCGACCAAAATAATTTTAGCCATTTGCCAGATTTTAAATGCAGCTGGCCCTGCATAGATTTTGGCATTGCCAATGCATTGTAATTTACGCGACAATTGCAATAAACATTAGTTCATTTGTTACGCAATGTTCTGCACCCAAGCACCCACTGAAATGGCTCCCTTTTGGCCCCACCAAAACCAGCCACGTTGTTTGTGGGTTTGCGGCTGGCACATTAAATTAATTACTCATGTTATTATTTTGGCCGAAATGAAGTACGCAACAATTTATAATCGCGACTACACGAGATTAGAAGTACCTGCGGTGTCTGCGCCTCCCCCTCCACTAACCATGCCACGCCCCCTTTGGGCTGAAACCATTTTGCTTTATTAGTCAAAATGCAGGCAAAATGTATTTCCAAATCAAAATTCTACAATTTTCCGCGAATGCGTCTGTTTGTAATTAACGCTAATTTATGATCAACTAATTTTCGAAATGCAGCCCAAAAATAGAGTTTTCTGGGGTTTTAAAACGGACCACTTCCACAGAATGTTTTACATAATACTTTATGGGATGCAATAAATACTTTTAGTATGAATGCTATAGTTGTGTTTTTATTTTTTAAGTTATTATTATAAACTGTAGTTCTTAAGATTAATTAGTTTTGATTTGAATAGAAGAAAAGTATTCGAAAGCTACTTTTGTCGGAACAGATTTTTAAGGCACCTTATGAACTTTTATTATAGTATACACTATAAAACTCAAACTTATACGACTTTGCCTGTCCACTTACCACTTAAAATATATGGATCTTCCAAATAAGCCAGATTAGTCCACAAATGACC